CACTTCGGGCATAGTTTCCCTTGCGGTTCAGCTCGGCTGACTGAGTTTTTCCTCAGAACCATGTCTCCAGGCTGGAATCGACGGTGCCTGACACGGGCATTGTAGTAGTGTGCCACTGTGCTCTTGTAGGAAGCTATCCGGGCTGAGGCGAGGTCCCTTCGCTCATCGACGAGGTCGAGATCCAACTGCCTTTCTTCGACGTTCACCTCGGCTGCATAGGCTGCGAGCCGAGGGCTGGGGGTAAGGATCTCGGCAGGGATGACAGCCTCGGCGCCGTATGTTAAAGAGAAGGGGGTCTCTTGCGTGGCCGACCTCGGCGTGGTCCGATAAGACCAAAGAACACTAGGGAGTTCTTCGACCCAAGATGTTCCAGCTTGGTGTAGTCGAGTCTTGAGGCCATGCAAGAGAGTTCGGTTGAAGTTTTCTGCTTGGCCGTTGGCCTGGGGGTGGCCTACCGAAGTGAAATGTTGTTTGATGCCAAGGTTTGTGCACCAAGTTTTAAAGGGGTTCTCGGCAAATTGCCTCCCATTATCCGAGATGATTACCTGTGGTATGCCGAAGCGGCAGACGATGCATTTCCAAAAGAATTTTTGAATTGCCAGTCCGGTGATGGTCCTCAGTGGCTCGGCTTCAACCCATTTGGTGAAATAATCCACAGCGGTTACCAGGAAGGTATGACCCCCGACGGCTCTGGGGAAAGGACCTATGATGTCTGTCCCCCATTGCTCGAATGGCCAGGGTGAAGTGATGGGAACCATGAAGTTGGCGGGCTGGTGATACTCGGGCGCGTGGACTTGGCAGGAATGGCAGCCGAGAACGAGGTCCTGGGCGTCTTGTCGGACCGAGGGCCAGAAATATCCAAGAAGCAGAGCCTTCTTGGCTAGCATTCTGTGGCCGACGTGAGCTCCACACAAGCCCTCGTGGATCTCTTGGAGGACGTGGCGTCCTGTCTCGGGAGTGACACACCTCAGCCATGGGCCGAGGTAGGAACGTTTGTACAGCTCTCCATCGCGGAGAGCGTACCGAGCCGCCTTGCGTTGTATTTTTCTCGCCTCGGCTCGGTCTTCAGGGAGGACTCCTTGACCCAAGAAAAGGATGAACGATGTCATCCATGATTCTTCAGAGTGCACGGGGCAGGCCACCTCTTCCACGTATCCTGGTTCACTCAGGACTTCCACTAAGACAGTTTTGTTGAGGTCAGAGAATGACGTAGAAGCCAGCCGGGATAAGGCGTCGGCTCGCTTATTCTGGGAACGGGGTATTCTTTGAATTTCGAAGGACTCGAAGTACGCGGTGAGTTGGTGTACTTTGGAGAGGTATCGTTGCATGGTCTCATCCTTGGCCTCATACTCACCAAGGACTTGGCGTACAACGAGTTGGGAGTCACTGCGGACGTGGATTTGATGGGCGCCGAGCCTGCGAGCCAGCTGGAGTCCAGCAATTAAGGCCTCGTACTCGGCTTCGTTATTGGTGGTTGGGAAGCCAAAGCGGAGGGCGTAAGAGCACACTTCTCCCTGAGGTCCTTCCAGGAGCAGTCCAGCCCCGCTGCCGTCCCCATTAGAGGATCCATCCACATACAATGTCCACAGGGATGGGGTGGACACCTCGGCAAAGGCGGAGGTGGACTCCGGACCTTCCGTGAAGGTGAGTTCGGCCAAGAAGTCGGCTAAGGCTTGAGCTTTTATGGCGGTGCGCGGCTCATACGACAGGTCGTACTCCCCTAACTCGACGGCCCATTTAGTGAGGCGCCCGGAGGCCTCGGGTCGAACCAGTATCTGTCGGAGAGGCTGGTCGGTCCTGACGGATATGGGATGAGCCAAGAAATAGGGCTTCAGCCGCCGAGCGGCGTGAACTAGCCCCAGCACCAGTTTTTCCACCTGAGTGTATCGGGTCTCCGGTCCGCGGAGAGCTCGGCTGATATAGTAGACGGGCACTTGGGTGCCCTCATCCCGGATAAGAACAGCGCTGACGGCCTCATCGGCTGCGGAGAGGTAGAGGTAGAGCTTCTCCTCGCGCCGAGGTGAAGCGAGAGTGGGTAGGTGATGGAGGTACTGCTTCAGTTTGTCGAAAGCAGCCTGGCACTCTTCCGTCCAGGCAAACTGATCAGCCTTCTTGAGCACCTTAAAGAAGGGCAGAGCTTTCTCAGCTGATTGGGACAGGAAGCGATTCAGCGCGGCCAGGCGTCCATTTAGCCGTTGGACTTCTCGGATGTTCCGAGGTGGAGACATGTCCTGAATGGCTTTCACCTTGTCGGGGTTGGCCTCGATTCCCCGGTGGGAAACCAGATACCCCAAGAATTTTCCCGAGGTGACGCCGAAGACGCACTTCTTGGGATTCAGCTTCATCCTCGAGTCTCGCAGGACACCAAAGACTTCCCTCACGTCTGACAGAAAGGATGAAGTGGCGAGCCTTTTAACGAGGATGTCATCCACATAGGCCTCCACATTGCGGCCGATCTGATTCTGGAAGAGTCGGTTGATCAGCCTTTGGTAGGTCGCCCCGGCGTTCTTTAGCCCGAAGGGCATGGTAGTGTAACAATAAGTACCTCGGTCGGTGTAGAACGCCGTTTTCTCTTGGTCCTCCTCACTCATTCCTATTTGATGATACCCTTTGAAGGCATCTAGGAAGCAGAGGATTTCATACCCCATCGCCGCGTCGACGAGGGCGTCTATCCTTGGCAGAGGATAGCAATCTTTGGGGCAGGCCTTGTTGAGGTCGGTGAAGTCGACACACATTCTCCATCCCCCGGTGTCCTTTTTTACCATGACTGGGTTGGACAGCCAGGTGGGATATTGGACCTCGTGGATTATCTTGGCCGGCAAGAGCTTGTCGACCTCATCCGATATGGCTTGGCTACGTTCGGGGCCGAAGTGCCTTCGTTTCTGTCGCACAGGTCGGGCCTGCGGGTCAACGTTGAGTTGGTGAGTCATGAGCTCGGGTGGCACTCCGACCACTTCATCCGCGGACCACGCGAAGACGTCTCGGTGGTCTTTGATCAGGGAGATCATTTCTTCTTTCAGGGGTGAGGGTAGTCCAGCCCCTACTTGGACCACTTGGTCAGGTTTCGCTTCATCCACTACCACTAGTTCCACCTCATCCCCGGGTTCCAGCCTGTTGGGCTCTTCTGCCTTCTGAGGGTCGATGCAGTCTATGGAGAGGACCGCTGGCCTCTTTTCTTCTGACCTCGGTGAGGGCCGGGGGGTGACTGCTGCTTGAATGGTGGCGAGGTAGCACTCCCGGGCGGCGCCCACATCGCTGCTTACCTCGGCCACCCCCGCAGATGTTGGGAATTTAAAGCTCAGGTGGTAGGTGGAGTATACGGCTCTCAAAGCATTGAGCGTGGGCCGGCCTATCAGCATATTGTAGGGGGAGTCTGCTTTGACCACCGCAAAACTGACAAGCACAGTTCGGCAGCGTGGATGACGCCCGATTGTTACCATCAGGGTCAACATGCCCTCCGGGTGGACGACGTGTCCCCCGAATCCCACGAGAGGAGTTCTGACAGGAGTGAGTTGCTCCCTGGTCAGCTTCAAACTTTCGAAAGTTCGGTAGTACAAGACGTCTACCGAGCTTCCGGGGTCTACGTAGACCTTTTTGACTACGTAGTTGTTGGTGAGGACTTCAATCACAAGAGCTTCATGATTGCTGGAGGCCGCAGGAACGGGGTCAGCGGGACCGTAGGTGATGACCTCGGACAGCCGAGAGCTCGGCTCGGCCACCTCCATCTCGGCCTGGCGGTATGTCCGCTTCCGGGAGTTCTGGCTGTCTCCTCCCGTTGGTCCTCCCGCGATGGTGTTGATCACCCCGGCGATGTTGGGGCTGTAGCCCGGTGAGCCATCGCGTGGGGGCTGCTTGTCCTCCCTACGGTATTCGGGACCTCGGCAATGCATGTTCGTGTCCCGTCGGTCGTCTCGGCGGGGGCCCCGGTTCTCCCGGTGGGAGACGCTTCGGTTGAAGCCTCCATCCTTGCGGACGAATTGCTTCAGGTATCCCTGCCGGATCAAATTTTCGATTTCCCGCTTCAGGTCATTGCAGTCTTCAGTCTCGTGCCCTACATCACGGTGGTAGGCACAGTAGAGGTTCGAGTTCCTCTTATCTCTCCTCCCCGGAATTTCGGGAGGGTTGCGGCCGAGGTGATTCTGCCTCATCACAGCCAAGACGTGGGTCCGGCTCGAATTGAGGGGCGTTAGCTCGGCGTCCGAGGTGGACGATCTGCCTTTCACGATCCGGTCGAAGACACTTCGGCGGTCTCGGGGTTGGTTTGAAGTGCCACTTGGGCCTGGTTCATCTCGGCCAGTGTCTTTCCTCCTCCGGGGATCTTGCCCCGTACGAAATGCTTGGGCTTCTCGCTTCATGCGATTTACATCTTCACTTCGGATTCCCTGGTCCACTCTTTCCCAGAGCTCCCGTAGTGTACGGGGGTATTGCCGATGGATTTCTGTGTTGAAGATCCCTGCCACTAACCCGTTGGTGAAGGCAGCGATAGTTACCTGCTCGTTCTGGTCAGGTATCTGTACATTCTCCTCATTGAACCTTTGGGCGTATGAGCGAAGTGACTCGCCCTGACCCTGTTGCAGGTTCAAGAGGTAAGCTGAAGTCTTTGTTATTGGTCGAGACGACACAAAGCGGTGGATGAACCGGTCTATCAGCTCATCCAGGGAGGAAATGCTCCCCGGTTCTAAACTCCAGAACCACTTCCGGGCGGTCCCGTGCAGGAAGATGGGGAAAGCCCGACAGATCACGGCGTCGGGGACGCAGTAGAGTCGGAATGCGGAGATGAAGGCGCGGAGGTGATCCTCGGGGTCACCTCGGCCGTCATAGGTGTGCAAATTTGGAAGCTTAAAGTTTGGGGGTACCATTTCCCCATTGATGTCATCAGTGAAGGGCGGAGCCCTCATGTAATCAAAAGCTAGGCCTCCGGGACGCCGAGGTGGGTCCTCGGCTCGTTTTCCCAGTAGTCCCCGAGAAAACGCTCGGGAGATGGAGGCAATCTTGGAGGTTGCCTTGGATGAGGCTCGCCTGGAGGTGCTCCGAGATAGACGCCCATCTTCGGAGTCCTCGCCTGAGGGCACTTCAGGGGACTTCGTCGGTCTCCTCTTGGAAGACTCGGCTTTTTCTTTTCCCTGCCTCTTGAGGTACCTTCCTAGTTCCTCAAAGATGTTGGGGTTGTCCGTGACAAACTCGGCCATCTTGGCGATGGCCTCCTCATTGTTGGGCTGGGTCCTTTGGGACCCATGTTCCTCAGAGATACGATCTTGCTGGGCTCCGGATGTCTGCCCAGCCCCTGTTGAGGGAACTCTTCCGCTTCTGGAACGCGTGGATCTCATTTTAGTAGTAATCTCGTTCCCACAGACGGCGCCAATTGAAGAGGCGATTTTTGGCGGGTAGTTGGACCGACCTAAATCAGACCTCTCTGGGTTGAGGTGAGGTGTATCCTCGCGGCCGAAGTGGATGGCGGGGCTTCTCCCCTGGTATCACTCCGACGATTAAATTAGTATGAGAACGAGAAAATGCTAGAGTATGAGCAAATGAACAGTGTGTCTTACTTGTTGGGAGTGTGTGGGGTATTTATAGAGTGAGAGTGGAGGGCAGGACGGAGGTCTTATGCCGGTGGGACCCATGTCCTGCCATTACGGCTCTGCTCCCTGCCAGATGGCCTGGCTCTGACACTGTAGCCTTCTGGGTATGATGGCGGAGAGTATGGTGCAGGTGCCATTAAGTGCCTCCAGTGCTTTTCAGATAAAGCACTGGTCCCAGGTGATGTCAGGTGGCTTGACATCATCAGCGTGCAGCTGAGGTGGAGGTGCCGAGGTCACCTGCACGGTAGACTAGGGATCCGGCCGGGTTTAAGGGATAACCCCGAGACGCGGACGAGCTCTGATGAGGGACGAGGTGAGTTCATCTCGGGCATGCGGGATGGCCGAGGTGAGCCTCCTCAGGCTGAATTGAAAGAAACGGAGTTTCAGGTCTTACTTGATCCGCCGGTTGCGAGGACGAGAGTGTTGCATTTCTCCCTTGTTGCTTCCTTTCTCCCACGTTCCTTTTTCCCTTCCCAGATTTCTCGCTCTCTTTCACTTTATTCCTCAGAGTTTGTGTGTACGTTGCCTGAAAACAAATGTTGGAAATGTAAACTTGATTTGTGGTTGTTTAGACACATAACCTCCTTATCCCATTCCCCGTTGTCTATCACCAAAAGATGATTAATACCATTGATAGCATTCTACTGATAATTAGGATAGCGGGTATTTGTTTAAAAAAATGCTTTTTTTTTTTTGGGGATTAAAGAGGCCTGAGATCACGTATTCCCCGGATTTGAATCCAAGAAGATTTGACCATAGGTGAAACCAAAACTCGAAAAAAGTAAAACACCAATAAAATGAGGGAAGGAATAGGGGTCAGGCAAGTGAATTTTAGGCTGTTTTCAGGAAGTTAATAGGGAAGATGTACTGGATAAAAGCAGCTTACGTTTTTATTCTTATTTAGTGGGCGAAATTTGATTTCTTCAGAATTTATCATGATTCTGGGAATGTGGGAGATCTTGTACAATTCTGGGCGGCTTCCTTTGGTGCACCTCGCCTCCAGAGGGGGGCAATAACAGATATCAAGCTCATCCAAATTCTTGAGTTGTTTCATTGTTTCTGCTGCTGGCAAATACATAAGCTTCCAACAGAACTCAAGCTTCAGAATTTGAAGGGATTGTAACTCAGAGAACCATTCTGGAAGAGTCTCCAGTCCACCATAACCGGATATTGTGAAAAATTTCAAAGCTGAGAGATATTGGAGTTGCTCGGGCAGAGATGCAAGTTCTCCTGACTGCAGAGTTCTCCTGACCTCTGAGATGCCACCTATTGTCAAACTTGTGAGGTTGCGACAATGTCCAATGGACAGCTTTGAAAGAGATGGTAGGCCACGTATCTCTAAATCCTCGAGTGACTTAAGTCCAACAACTCCCTCTGGTAGGCCATCCAAACTGTCACACCAGGCAACCTCTAGCCGGCGCAGATGCTCATGGCTGCTGGTTATTACGTTTGGGAGACGTTCCAGCTTGGGGCATTGCTCAACTTCAAATTTCTCCAGAAGAGGACAGACAGTTGAAGAATGATTTGAAAGAGATACAGGTTCAGACCACTCCTCTAGACTTGTCAACTCCCTTAGTGTGAGTTCTCTTAATTTTGGAAACACTGTACGTGCAGTCAAAGGACTGCCACTGCTGCTACTTTGACCATCGCCATCTGTAAGACCATAGAATTCAGCCCCAATACTTTTGACATTGACCATCCCCCTTATTTTGACAACTTTGAGAGAGGGAAGGTGCCCCAGTGGTGGGAATTGCTCACAATAGCTGCAGTCCTCCAATTCCATCTTCACTAGATGGTGAAGTATCACCGGCTCGCTTGTATTCTGCATCCAGGAAGGAAATGCTGGACCTTTGTAATTTTCAATTGCCAAATCTTTTATGTCTGAGTGAGGCTGAAGGTCTTCCAAAACACCCTCATCGTAGCAGTTTTCCCTCCTTGCATTCCAGTGAAGCCTTAAGCTTTCTATTGTTGATATCCTTAATATACTTGATAGCTTTTCTTTTGTGTCCTTCTCCTTCTCCTTCTCCTTCTCATAGCCACTCACATTCTCAAGGCGATAAATCCTGAGACACGAATACAAATCTGGATGGTCCAATAACTTTTTTAAGTTCTCAGTTGGATAATTGTCGTGTAAATGAACTTTAAAGCATGCTTTAAGAGATGAAGGATTGAGCACCGTTTCAGCTTGAGAAGGCAAAACACTCAACTTGTCCAAGTCTTGGAAATTCCCAATAAAAAGGTGTTTCAAATTAACCAAATTCTCAAAATTCTTTGGCAGTTCCATAAGATCATAGAGTCTCAAGGTTTGCAAATTGTAGAGTGTCGAAATTGAATCTGGAAGTCTTTGAATTTTGGTCTTCGAGATGTCCAGATAATATAGAAGTTTTAATCTGCTTATTAAATCTGGCAATTCCTCAAGCAGCGAATCAACCACAATTAAGACACGAAGAGAAGTAGTGTACCTCAACACGTCTCCAAGAACTCCACTGTTCACCCAATGCAATGTTCGAAGCCTTTCATACTTGTTCGTCGAGGGTTGTGAAACGGATACTTCGCAATTAATTACAGATAGATGTACACCAAAATCATCCGTTCCAACTTTTATCCCCTCCATAATCGAGCATTGATAATTTGATAAGGACAAAGCCAGGTCGTGTAAAAGATCGTGCATCTTGTAGAATTTTTTCCCATCAACCTCATCTAGTTCAGCATCCTGCAAAATTGATGTCCGCACAAAAATATCAAGATATTCGGCTCCTAAATCTTCCATGCTCAAATTCCTTCCTTGCGGTGGATTAAGCAATCCTTGTGCCATCCAAAGTTGTATTAGTTCATCCTTTTCCATGACAGAGCCTTTTGGGAAAATAGAGCAATAAAGGAAGCATTGTTTTAGTGATATTGAAGGCAAATTATCATAGGACAACTTTAGGACATCATCGACAAATTCAGAACCTGGTGCTTCATTTATTGCTATCTTATCCCAGTCTTCAATTCTCCTGAAGCGTGCGATACTTGCCATTGCTTTTACCGCCAATGGAAGACCTCCACAACTTTTGACTATCGTTCTACCCACTTGCTCTAGTTGTTGGGTCATTTCTAGCCCACTTCCTTCAACTGCTATTTGCCGAAACAATTCCCAGCAATAGTCCTCTGGCAGAAAATTTACCTTATAGGTTGAACCTGGTTTAAATAAATCAGCAACTTGCTGTAGACGAGTGGTTACCAGTATTTTGCTTCCTCTAGAACCACCAAGCTTTAGCAAACACTGGGTAAATGAATCCCACATACTGTAATCCTGTTTCCAAACGTCATCAAGAACAAGCAGATACTTTTTCCCTTTCAACCTTTCTAGTAGCTTCAGTAAAACCGTTTCTATTGACATTTCATCAACAGGGTGGTAGGTTAAAAACTCTAACATATGTTTCAAAATCCTAAAAATATTACTCTCTTTCGACACCCAGCTCCAAATTCTCACATCGAAATGATTCACCACGTCATTATCATTGTAGACAAATCTAGCAAGGGTAGTTTTTCCGATGCCCGCCATGCCAATTATGCTAATGAAGGATAAATCTTGATCATTTCCAGCACCCACTATCCTTTCTTTCAATTTTAGCAAATCATCACCTCTGCCCATCACTTTTGACTCTGAAACATAAGAAATTGTTTCCCGATCTCGGAAATGATCATATTGTTCACTTGCTTTGGCCACATATATTTCCGAAGCGCAACGGGCTAATGCTTCATATTTCGAGCCAACATCTATCAACATCAGACTCATCCTTCTGTTTCGGTTGAGTTCAGGAAGGAATCTGCTTAATTTGACCAGCTTCTCCTTCGGCCGGCGGGCTTCATATGCAAACTCATCGAGCAGATCATCCAACGGGGCATTTAGCCCGTTGATCTTTTCGAGCCAGCCCCTAACTTCAGAACGATTAATGCCCGTCTCAACGTCGAAGAGAATGTCGTTTATGATCTTCAAACTACGGATCAATTTGTCGAGATGACCTTTAATACCCAGTTTAGCTGCCATGCCACTAAATTCTCCATCAGTGAATGATTTTGCTTTTCGCAGGAGCCCCTCCACATTAACAAGTCCAACATAAGGTTCAGCTTCAGTTGCAGCCATCTTAATTTCCCCCAATAACTGTTATCAGGAGTGATATCAGATGTTACCGACAACAAATTAAGAACACGTACAAGTGAATTGCAAGCACAAATGGAGTTCTGCACTTTGCACCATTTTGAGTGCTTGGAGAGAATCGGTCAGCCAAAATTTGCTGCAAGATTGGTAGTATAGATATTGGTGGCTATCGTGGCAGTTTAGGACAGAATAGAAAAGAAGAGAAGATAAATTAGGTGAGAAAGAAAGAAGATAAAAAAAAGACGCGGAAGATATCCCTAAACTTGGCACATTGGTTGATTTTATAACTAATACAAAGGACTTTTATGAGTTGTATCTCATATATTAAATGAAACTACAAATTTAATTTAGAAATGCTATGGGTCAATTTATAACTTGTTGAAGCTAAAGGGTCAAAGTGAAATACCAAAAACTAATAAGGCATCAAAAACAAATCAAATACTTGAAGCCAATCTAATCTATTGGTCAGCCGTCATTGTTGCTTTCTTACCGTCATCTCCCTTGTTCTATTTTAACAGGTTTTTCATCTCGCAAACCGAGCAGCTCACAAGCACTTCGTGAGCAGCCTAATCAAATGCTCTTCTCGAGCTGTTTGAACCTTTTCTCAAGTTGAATTCGAAGCTCAAGCTTTTCATAATCTCGGTTTAAGACTCCAATTCCTTAAAGCCTAGGCCTTTCCCTTTGTATACGGCAAAATATTTCATTAATCATTAATCGTTAACTATGATAAAAGTATCATGAATTTTGGCACCTTGAGTGTAAGCATTTTTGTGTTCTTAGTTTTTGTTATATCAATTATACCCTTATTAATTGATGATGGAAGTTTCATATTATAGTCTTATGATTTATGATGATTGAAATTCATCATAGAAAATAATAGTTGATGACAAGATAAAATGTTAATTAATAATTAAATTCACTATATTATATCATACCATATTGATTCAAAAAGGAAAAAAATTGAGTTGAGAAACATTGAGCATGTAGATGAAATAATGAGTTGTATATATCCAATTCAGAAGAAGGTGAAGAATTTTGCATGTTGCACCCAATGTCTCAATCTGATTTTAGTACTATGAGTTTTAGTTAGTTAGTTAGTTAGGAGTGTAAGCAAAATTTGCTTTTAGTTTTTGCGATACCAAAACTACTTTCTTCTCCAATAATTAGAAACATTTTACTACATTTCAATGATAATCAATAGCAACCAATATGATTCTTGATAATGGCTACAAAAATTAGGAATCTCTTTGAGTAATGTGAATTAAAAATTTAACATTCATGGTAAAAGATAGTCTTACAACTGACATAGCACTATGGATTATTTACAAGTCAAAATTAGTAGTAAAAAAAATTAAAAGAAACTGGACAAAGCTGAAAAAATCATAAAATGGCATAAAGAATGATAAATATTACCCAAAAAATTTACAAAATTCAATTCAAATGTCATAAGAGAGAACATTAAGGTCACTTGAGTCAAATAGATTTACAAAATATAGATATAGATGTAGATATTTTGATACTAAAAGTATCATCAATTTTAGACTTGAGTGTTAGCAAAATCTGGTCTTAGTTTTAGTGATGCCCAAGTACTTTCCTCTCCAATAATTAGAGTAATTGCATTTCAATAATAGTCAATAAAGGTGGTGGTTACAAAAAACGAAGTAACAAATATGAATTATGGTGACAATTAAAATAATAAAGCACTTCTATCTAAAACTATCCCTTCCATTTTACTTCCAATTTATCAGTTAATGAAAAGTTCTCTATTCCCGACAATTCCAATTCCAAGATCGTCAAAAAATTTAATATGAATACTAGGGAAAAGGTGATGTTGAGACAAAAAAAAAGAAAGTTATCGTTGCTGATGCTCAATTTGTTTTAGAGAAGTAGGGAAGGCGAACCAGTAAGCAATTTGAAAGCATCTACAAGAGTGAAATAAAAGAGAAAAGGAGAAAAAGGTTAGATTAATGTCTCAAATCACCTAATCTATTGACATAATGTATGATTAGATGATTTATCCGACAAAATTGGATATAAATAATGAATGTAAAATAAATGATATAGTAGACCATGTGATACTATTGCTAAAGTATGATGGTTATTAATAATATCTAAAAGATGCAATATTCTAAGATAATATAATCATGTGCTTTGCACATGAAGTATTAGTAGTGTGTGTGTCGTCTATATATGTGTGTGTATAGACATATGCACACACACATATACATACATATATATATATATGTATATATGTGTGTGTACACACATTTACTTATATTCAAACTCTTCAATAGTTTCAGGACCAATTCTTGTTTAGGGACTTGAGTTCGACTAAGTTTGATTTGACCTTATTTTGCTTTTTCGAGTGAGCTCAAGCTCAGGTAAATATATTTATCTGAGTTCGACCTTAAGTTCAAGTGTACCAATTTTCATGCTAGACTCAGCTCGATGCTACCTGTGGTCTCTAAAGGGCTAAAATACAAAATTGGAATGTTATCTAGAGCCAAAGCATAAGTTCTAGAAACTTTTAGGGTTTTTTGGCAATTCCCATAACTATCTTATGCCATTTTCTCTAATTTATGCATGTCTGTCACAAGTCATATTCCAAAGAAGCCAATTGTATGGTTAAGATTCTATCATACATTTTTTCTTTTCACCTTTTCTTTTTCATTTTTGTCTAAAGAGTGTTGATTGGCCATTGGTTAAGATAGGGTGTTAGGTGCAAATTTCTAGAAACATAAAGTTAAATTGAAATAGTCTATTGGTTAAATACGTTAGGTGCATAGAAAGGCCCTTCTATTTTTTTTCTAACCATCCTAAATTTAATTGGCCTACTTCATCCTTGTTCATGTTTTTGGTAACCGGACCAACTTTTGACAAAAGTGATATGTATATGAATATGTTGTGTCTGTGTACACACATGTACATTCAAACTCTCAAATAGTTTTAGGACCAATTATTGTTTAGGATCTCGAGTTTGACTAAGCTCAATTTGACCTTGTTTTGCTTTCTCAAGTGAGTTCAAGCTTACGTAAATATGTTTAGCCAATTTGAATTCGAGTTCAAATCCAAGTATACCAGTTCTAATGTTGGACTCACCTCCATGCTGCCTCTGGTCTCTAAAGGGCTAAAATACAATTTTGGTATGTTACCTAGAGTCAAAACATAAGTTCTAAAAACTTTAAGGCCTTATTGCAATTTCTATAGCTATCTTATGCCACATTCCCTAATTTATCCACATCTGTCACATGTCATATTCTAGAGAAGCCAATTGTATGGTTAAGATTCCATCGTCCATTATTTTCTTTTCACCCTTTCTTTTTCATTTTTGTCTAAAGATTCCATTGGACATTAGTTAAAATAGGGCGTCAGGCACAAATTTCTAGAAATGTGAAGTTAAATTAAAATGGTCTATTGGTTAAATATGTTAGGTGCATAGAGAGGTCTTTTTTAATCACCCTAATGTTTTTTGAAGAATTAATCACCCTAAATTTAATTGACCAACTTCATCCTTGCTCGTATTTTTGGTAACCGGACCAACTTTTGACAAAAGCTGTACGTTTAGACTCCATGTTTGGCTGAGATTCTTGATTTGTGTATTACACGGGAGCCCTGCTATTCTACCCTAAATAGTTCCAATTTTATAGGATGTCCCAATCGGACAATGTTGGTAGAGTTTCTAAATCTAATATTTGTTTTTCCCAAATCCATCTACAATTTTGTGGATCTAAATTCTTCAATCTAATGCCACCACCTTCTCATTACATCCGTTGGGACAAGTACCTTAATTAAAAACAGTCGTGATAGTTCCTAATAAAATAGAAGGGGAAATAACAAATAAGTCGTAGTAGACAGAGAAGACATATATGATGAGCCAATTTACCAGGCTTTATCTCCTGGAAGTGGTTAGACATGTCCCTGCCTCTTCCCGAAGTTGTTAAGACTTATCTAACTCCCTGTAAAAAATGTATAAGAATGCCTGCATAGACGCCCTCCAACAACAACATCAACACATGACGGCTTTGTTTGATTTTCATGAAGAACAAGTTTTTCAAATACAATGATATAATAATATATAAATAAAAATAATTCTAAAAACACCATCTTCTTTTTTCAAATATACAAAAAAAAAAAATGAAAAAATTTATATTTACACCATTTCTTCTTCCGTCTATTACCACCATCCACCATCACCACCCCCACCCTCTTCTTCCTCCCTCTCTTTCTTCTTCCTCCTCCCCTTCCACTCCCCTCCTCCCTTCCCAATTGGGTGTGCGATAGAGGATCAATCGGGTGCCCTATCTAAACGTTTTAATGCGCGAAAAACAGGCAAGGTTTCTGGCAAAACAGCATTTGAAGAGAATGGACGTTGGGCAGAATGAAGCCCAAACAATTTAATAGCTCGTTTCTTGAGTGTTGGAGCAAGCTTAGCATGCCATATAAAAGTCAAGACTTTCCCTCTTCATATGCAACTATTATCCTAAATTATCTAGAGCTCACAAGTGACAAAAATAGCAAAAGATTGCAATCTTGAGAGCTTTATTGGTGTATCTGTACTCTCACAGTGATTTTTATTTACTTTTTTGGAATTACAAGTGATTGTACAATGTGAGGTTCCTCAGGTGAAAGATAAAATCCAAATCTCAAGCAGCAAATGACGCTCAAGGAGATTGAAATGCATCCATTATACGAACGGCATTGTCACACCTTTTAATGATGCATATTGTAGAAGAGATAGCAAGGTTAAAAAAGTTTTGGGAATGGATATACGTACCAAGGAGTGTGGTCAAGTGGATGTCAAGAGAGCATAAGTGCATGAGTGAGGTCAAATGGCAATGCTTGAAACTTAAAATGGACCGATAGGTGAGACTATTGAACCCAGACTCGAGTAGGTCTCCTGTCCAAGTTTATCTGAAAACTCCAGATGACACGATCAAATCCTGTGAAATCTTCCTTGTCCAATTTATTCACTTCTAAGTCTTTGCCTCTCTAAGCTCAAAATTGTTTTTGCTTATAGGTGGATGTTTCCACGATAGTGAAGAAGCCTCCCATGGCTGTCTCCTTTGCCTATTGGTAGATCTGATGCCAAAAGTGAGAGATCTGTGTACCAATGATGAAGCAAGTGTATAGCATTTGAGCATGATTTTTGGAAATTATCAAAACAAAAATAAGATCATGCGTACAAAATTTTGGATCTTTGCGATTGAGCGTTTGGAAGACCCATCCCATCAACACGCAATAAACCCATCATAATTTTCTTGTAAATGTACCATAAATATAAATAAAGATAAGAATGAAGAGGAGACATACCTAACGTCAATGATCTTCAGAAAATAAAAAGGACGAGAATCGGCCTCTTTGTTCGTAGAGCAGGGGAAAGTGAAACTGCTGGTCCAGTGCGATGAGAAAGGAGAGCGAGGATGTGAAGTATTGCTGATGGCTTCTAGTGGAGGGTGCAGGGACAAAAATTATTGGGTCAGCATTTTGAGGTCGAAGCTGCTACATTAAAAAAAGGCAAAAGTCCATTTAGCCCTCAAACTTTAACGATTTTGTAATTTTAGCTTTCCAAATGTTATTTGGATATTTTTAACCCCTGAACTATTAAAGTGGTATTTATAGTCTTTTTTTTTTCCGAATTTGAACATTTAACCCTAATAGAAATAGCTCAAAATGAGGTAATCCTGATCTTTTCCTACCTCCAATCAAGTTCTTGACTATTTACTGCAGGTCAACAATTATTGACTAAGGACTGACTGCCACTTTATCATTGCTAAAATTTGATCAAATTGCGTCTTAGGATTTCATTTTTTTGTATATATTTCAAATTTGCTCTCCATTTTTTAATGAATCTCAGTAGACTTAGATCTTAGGTCAAAGGTAATAGACATATCACCATTTTACACATTATTCATCAATTCTTTTAAATTTAATACAAAAAAAAAATCTTTCCATTTTTCTTTGTACATCGCGAGTGATAGCCTTTTCATCAACTTTAACACCTTAGATTGACGTCAAGACAACAAATATGAGTTTTTAATAATTTAGGGGCCAAAAATACATTAAAAGTATAAAATCGCTAAAAGTTCGAATAGGTGACTAAATCAAATTTCATATATCAAATTTGCAATGGGTGACTAAGGGTGTATTTGATAAATTGAAGTCTGAAATCTAAAATCTGAAGTTTGAATCTATTAAATTATTGAATTGTTAAGCATTAAATCTAATATATTTGAGTGCATATCACATTCAGTGATAAGTGAATAGCTTATCACTTAATTTTGGGAATAAGTTTTGTCTAGAAAATTCAATGCCACTTAATTAATTCAGATATTCAATATTTGGTTATCAAACGATCTGAATATGTTAAGATCTGAATCCATTAAATTTAAGTGCTGAATTGAGTTATCAAACAAGGTTTAAGTCAAACTTACCTCTTCTTAATTCTCACCGTGGAAAATTAGAAGACAATAATGCAGAAAAAACATTACTAACGGAGTAAGATATGAAAAGTGCATCAAGTAAAAAAACAAAGATTTTCTAAGGAAGATTATTTTGGCAACGAAGTCCAAAAGGGTTTTAGCGTTTTGTTGCCTTAATAAACAATTAGGAATGATGGCCCTATGGGCTTGTGAGTGCTATCTCGCAGCTTTTGACTTCAAAAGCTGTAGCTAAAAGCTTCTGGAATAACTAATTTTTTTAAAAAAAGAAAGTTTGACTATTTATCATATTCTTATGCTAAATAAACGCTGAGGAACCCCTGGCCAGATATTGAGGAGTTTGTTGCCTTAATAAACATTGCCTTAAAGCGCTGTTGATTTAAGTTTTAACCTCTTCTCTTTTTCCTATACCAAACTCTCCCTCCACCTGCTGCTCCTTTCCCACTACAATTATAATTTGCATCCCGTGAATGTTATATTTGATTTGATTTAACTCATCCATTTATGTTTTTGATATATTAATCATTTGTTGATTTTCGATGTTTGTAGTTTATTGGTGAAGATCAAATGTGTCAGCGCTAGCGAAACCCCACGTTGTCCAATTTAGCTTGATTTCTTGAATTTGAAAACAATCACAAATTCGCATGCTTCTTTTTATGTGTTTTTTAATGCACACTTGAATATATTGTATATTCGGTGATTTTGGTTTAGACACCTTAATGTTTGGAAAAACGGTGTGTGGCGACGAATTTGGATGAAACGAAGAATAGAGACCCTGCCACCAAGTCTTGCTTTTGATCGATTATAGTAAAAATTAAAAACATGTTCTCTTTCACATTATTTCCGATCCATCATCTATGGAATCTGACCTTTCACGACATCGACTTCCTACCTAACGACGCTTGCGAAAATAATAGGAAATGCAAAATGATCTTTGTCATCGTTCGTGCCAAAGAAAATAAACTCATTACATTATGCAGGACGGCAAAGGCCAGCTGTATCTTTTTGTTTATTGCCTAAGCACCTTGACTTTTCCATTCATTTTTAATCAAATTAGTCTGGCTTCATCAGTGGAATCATTTTTTCTTTGTATTTTACTGGCCACTCGCTTTATACAACTCTTTGATGTTCGGTAGCCTGAATAGATATATGTTTTGTTTATTAACGCAGGGTGGCTAAGTCAGTGGAATTAAATATCCTCTATTTTTTACCCAACACTTGCTTTATACAATCCTTTCACTCCATCCAATATGTCATATTTTGCGAGTCAATTTTTACAAACTTTAACTAATTTAAATTTGTTTCAAATTTGTCAAATTCTAAATTTGCCTAGAATCATGTTTCGTCTATAGCTCTAAAACGGAACCAATGTGACAAGTATATATTTTACGTGTTTTTAGTGTATTTTATTGGTTAGTTTTGGTGTGTTTTAGTCACTTTTTAGTTAATTAACTAAGATTCTAGCGAAAATATGCATTTTATGATTTAAGTGGTAAAAATTGCATTTCTATGGATTTTTATGGTGAAAACTTCATATTTTTGTAGATTTAATGATTCAGTCATTAAATGGAGTGGATTGAGAACATATTTGGATGAGTGATGATGGTTTAAAGTGATAAAATAGAATATGAAGTGCAAAAAGGAAATGCAATCAAGAACAAAAGGAAGCAAGTTTCACAGCTTTGACACCTTTTGATATTTCGACAATATCTTGAGTTACAAACATTTGATTTAGGTGAATTTTATACATTTTGAAGCTAAAAGATAGATCTACATTTGGTACGAAGACATCGAAGTCCAGTTCAGTCATTTTCATAGTCAAAAAGTCGAAATACAAAAGTGCAACTTTATTGTCGGACACTGAAACAAAGCTCTGACCAGTTGATAGTATTTTAATCATATCGCGGTCTACAGAGCTCCAAATTGGATGATTCTTGAGACTCAAAAGGCTACAACTTTCATATTTTGCACAAGAACTAGTTCGGCTTCCATCATCGAGAAAATAGCAGTTGAAACTTGGCAATACGTGGGTTGAAGTCGCATATTCTCTAGTCGCGTATTCTCACCCGTTTTTTATAACTTGCTCATCAACTTGCCTTGCTTTCATCAACCGGCTGTATCTGATCAAGAAAAGGTTAGAAAGTTGGAAAGACAACTCATAGAAGTTTCAAGAGTCAAAAATAACAACTAGAAACAACTTATTTAGCTCTTGAATCTTCTATAAATAGTAGTCTTTGGAGAATATTTTCACAACTTTGGAAGGCTAGAGAGACTCATAAAAAATGTAGCTTTCACTAGACTTTCCTTAGTTTATTAGTTAGAGTAGTATAGTATAGTTAGTATAGTTTTACCTTATTGTATTCATAGTTAGATTTGGATGAAAATTTAGGAGCAAGATGGAAAGGTTGATCTCATGTGACAAGGGTGATATCTCTTCTACTATTGTTTCTTTTGTATTTGATTTCATGTTTAGCTATAATACAAGTTTGGATTTGTGTTTTTAACATGTTTAGTTAAAGTTTATGCCTAGAGTTATTGATGAACTTTCTATATCTTGTTTGTCATGTTTACTTGATTTTTTGATGATATTATTTTGAGCAAGTTATTTATCACTTTTGCTTTCTTAATCATGATTAACCAGCCATTAATTGTGATAATCTTAAGGTATTGAGTTTGCAATGAGAATTTAAATTTAACACTAGTTCAAGGAAGTGATAAACCTAGAAAGTATACTCACGAGAGTAGAGGTGCACCTTCGTGGCTTAAGTGACTTGTTTTATGTAATTTCATAGAAGAAATGAACTTGTAGTTAATTTCTTAACCACGAGAGTAGGTATGGTTTAGCTACAAGTATAATTGATTCATTACGAGAGTAGGTTTCGCATGCATTAGGAAATTACGCCATAATTAGCCAAGAAAATAGCATTCACTTAACCGGTAATCTCATTTGCAAGAGTGATAAGGAATTCCATATCTTTAGGAGTTTTCTAGTGTTATTTTCATTAATTTTATGTTTATCATAGTCTAGATAATAAAGGAGTTCAAAAAATACCGGTAATTGTCATTCTTCCCTGTGGGATCGATCCTTAATATCCTATGCTCGCTCACGATTTGTATACTTGCAAAAAATCGCATGTGGGGTATTTAGGAGTTTATAAATGTAGAACTTGATTGTGAATGAGTTAAATATTATATGTATACCCCACCAACATCATAATGGTTATGCATGGATGTCTTTGAAGTTTGTCAAATTTAGGGATGTAATCGAGACAAACTTATCGACATCGCAAATAGCTCGGGTAAAAGTTTGACTCAGGCTGATTGTTGATTGAGTTCGGGTTGAATATATAGCTTAATTTTTTTTTTTACGAAAGTACATTTATATGTAAGAGAGTTATGGAATTTGTGGAACATGAACTCGATCTTCATTAAAACATTGTTCATGGATGGGACTGTGATTTCATTGACCAAAAATTAAAATAGGGAGAAAATTCCTGGTTAATTAAAAAAATCGAACTTGAGTTCGAGTCAAGTGATCAAGCTTGATGATGCTTGACAAGACTTTTGAACTCATTCAAGTTAAGCTCAAGCTTGTGTACGATGGCAAAGAGTCGAGTTCAATTTGAAAATTTTTACTTGTTCAATCTTGAGATTGAGCTCCTCCTCAAGTAGCATAGAAAATTATTGAGTTCGAACTTTAATATGGTGCTGTTTGAGATTTACTTGACTCAATAGCACCTTTAATGAAACTCTAAATTTGATAAGAGTCTAATTGGGATGTGCTTATACAGTCAAAAGGGGTGGCGACACAGGAAGAGAGAAGGAGGGGGGGAAAACATAGGGAAGGAGTGGGAGAAGAGAGGAGGAAAGAGATTGTGAAAGAGGATGGGAGAGGAGTAGGGTGGGAGGGGGAAAAGTGAGGAAGAGGGGAACCCGGCGAAGGGTAAGGTGTGAAGGAGAGGGATAGGAGAGGTGGTGGAGGGGGGAGATGGATCGGGACTTGATGGGCAGTTTAGTAAGGAGGATTGTCGCATCTCATGTTCAAAGTGAAACAGCCATAGTCTAGAATAGAGTTAAGGCAGTTAAGGGAGAAGGTTGAGTTTAGACATGAGATTAGTTGAAATATTATTTGAAATAATTAATGTTATAATTTTTTATGATGTGATAATATGTGATATAAAAAATTAATTGAAAAGATAATTAAAAAGTAACTAAAAAATATGTCTATCTACAAGCAACTTTTTTACAAATAATGCCCTTTTAAACACACCTATATCAATACAATTGCAAATATTATTATAGAAATTTTTTAACTTTCGGAGGAATAAAATCATCCAAAAGCTTGTACAACTTTAAACGAGTTCAAGATTGGACCTAATGCAAATATAATACAACAAAAAATCCAAACATCACCGCAAGTTCATTGTACGAAATTATGGTTCATTCGCTAGAGAATATAAGTAATCTTCATTTTTCTAATGCCCCCAGACAGCATCAAAATTCCTGCAAACAACCCATCACTTTCTGCACACATATTAACAACAATGGGTTGAATGAAAACTCACCAATAAATAACAAATGTATTTTTTTCATTCGCTTGCCTGAGCAGGTTCATAGATTTCAAATCCGACTCATAATTAAGCATACTTATCACAAAAGTGTGGTCATAAATTATGACTGATAATAAGTATTTATTATGTATCAAAATCTATTAATTAATATATTGTGTCATATTTGAGTTATGGATTTGAGATGACCTAACCTAAAATTAACCCAATTTAAAGTTGGACGGATTAGGCATAACCCATTTAAATAAAAACTCAATATCAACCCGCCCAAAATCCGTCCAACCCGCCCAATTGCCAGATATAGTCATAATAAGCATTTTTAAACATAAAGCTTGTTCGGGAACTTGGTCTTAGGCACCTTAAGCTTTGGGAAAACTGGCAAATATCCAGTTATTTTGGATCAAGTCGCGATTAGAGACCATATGGTTAAGTTCTCCACCAAATCTTGCTTTCCATCGATTATAAAAACCTCTTCTTTCATATGGTTCCCAGTCCATCGCTAATTGGATATGATCTTTCACATTGTTGACTTAACACCTAACTACGTAGACGAAAAGAATAAAGAATTGCAAAATGGTCGTCGTGATCATTTATATCTACCACAGCAAAAACCTAATCACACTGTGCGGTACAGCAAAGGCGGCCGGAATCTTTTTGTTTTTTATTTTTATTTTTTGTTTTTCCCAAATACTCTTGTATTTTATGAATAAAAGTAGTTGCTGAATCACTGAAATCGACATCCTCTGTATTTTACTCACGACTTGCTATATAAAAATATTTCGTGTATGGTGGCCTGAATAGATATGTGTTGATGATTGATGTAGGCTGGCTAAGTCAATGGAACCGCTGTCCTCTATTAAATTTTTTGGTATTGGGAACGGAATTTCATCTTAACAAGAAAAAAGAAACTTCACAAAGAAAAGGAAATAAATAATAATAATCAGAACCAAAAAAAAAAAAAAACAAACACACACACACACACACACAAAAGATTAATTCCTCTGAAAGTGTCCTCAGAAATGGAGCAACAGCTGTTCAATTCTTTGACAGTGGAAAACTTTCGGTATTTTTTATAACAAACTTTATCCTGGACGATGCAAATGCTACTGTCATGTCTCTTATAGAAAATAAGAAAGAAAGTATATCATTTTAGGTTTTTCTAGCGCGATCCCTCCACATTACTACGTTTAAATCAAATTCAACTATTATGTGAATGCATAGAGTAATAATTATTATGTGAATCCAAAAATTAATAATTGTTATCCTCCGTTGTAGTTATACACTAATCCTATGTTTTCAGAACCGGACCGGATAGCGACTCGGCCGAGGTCAGGGGTCAATGGGTTCGACCGGAGGTCGATAGGGGTCGAACCGGATGACGTCATAAATAAAAATTATTTAAAAATTAAAATATTATATATATAATATCTAATAATATATTGATATTAATAAAGGTATATTCATATATATTTGATGTTTCAAATATATTTAACAAGAAAATACAAAGAAATTAGAACAATCAAGTAGCAATTTATATTATTTAATAAATATTAACAAGTTTAAAATTAAAATTATGAATTTAATTGAAAAATAACATCAAATTTTAGGACAATATTTATAAAGTATCAAATATTTGAGGTATATCAATAAGTTTTAACAATTTAGGGAGTCAAAACATAATATTAAAAAGTTTGAATTTTTTTAAAAAAAGTTACTGTTGAACCGGAAAAACCGGTTTTTTTCCGGTCAAACCCGGTCAAACCTGATTTTTGACCGACTTTGACCGGATTTTAAATTTTCGGTTTTTTTAATATGACTCGGACCGGATACTTGGCCGGTTCTCGGTTCGACCGGTCGATCCGGTCCGAGTTTTAAAACAGAGCACTAATCTGGATGAACCTTTTTTCCACAAAAAAATAAATCTGCATTTCATGTTAACAAAAGCTCCCAGCACTTGTAAGAAGGATCCTATTTATTTTTGTGCCCCTCACCCCTCGGCGGATGTTAATCCCGACTCCGCCACTATAAAATTTGAGTCAAGCATGTTCATTACCGACAAACAAGAGGTATGTTTCACACTAGAGGCCGAAAGCCCAAGTTTAAGGTAAAATGATTTGAATAAATCTTATATATACTAATAATATATATACACAATTATGATTGGATGCAGAACAAAAGATTTCTTTTTGTGTTTTCTAAGGCGTAACGTATTGCATATTCGGGTATTTTGGTTTATGCACCTTATTAAGGTTTGGGAAAAACGGTATCCGACCACGAATGTTGGATGAAACAAAGAATAGAGACCATGAGATAAGTTCGCCAAATATTGCTTTTGATGGATTATAAAACCCTGATCTCTTTCACATTATTTCCGATCCATCGTCTATGGAATCTGATCTTTCACAACATCGACTTCCCACCTAACGACGTGTGCTAAAAGAATAGGAAATGCAAAGCGATCTTTGTCATCGTTCACGCCAAACAAAATAAATTCATTACATTATGCAGGATGGCAAAGGCCAGCTGTATCTTTTTGTTTTTTGCCTAAGCACCTTGACTTTTCTATTCATTCTTAATCAAATTAGTCTGGCTTCATCAGTGGAATCATTTTTCGCTGTATTTTACTGGCCACTCGCTTTATGCAGTTCTTTGATGTTTGGTAGCCTGAACTCTGAATAGATGTATGTTTTGGTTATTAGCGTAGGGAGGCCAAGTCAATGGAATAAAATCTCCTCCATTTTTTACCTAACACTTGCTTTATACAATCCTGTCCCATCCAATATTATCAAACTCAGTACTATGAAAAACCTATTACTTCACCCTTTGCATTTTTCACACCAAAAGATAGGGACTCTGTAATCTTATTAAATTGAATAATTAGATGAAAAGGAAAGAGAAAGTACAACGTAAAGAGTCAAGGAAGATGTGCAAAAAATGTTATTTCACTTTTACAAAAGCGGAGGTGATCTTCAGATTTCAATCATGCGACAACAAATTACAAGGATAGCTTCAGTAACCGGAAAGGGAAAACACACACACACACACACATGAAATGCTGAATAACTTACACTTCTGAAGAAACTTACAAGGAGATTTGAGCTTACACCTGAAGTATAGAGCATGCTGTCTGAATAACAGTAAGAACTAGCAGTATACAGGCAGCAATAAAAGAGATGATAGCCCATGGACTCTGAAAATAATCACGGCGTAGGCTTGCAATCCACTCGGTTAACTTTGTCACCAACTTGTGCAGCCAGTCTCTGCTGTATTCATTCAGTTGATTGCAGAGGTTAGCAAAATAAAACTCCTTTGGATCCGTTACAATCTCTTTGTAGAGATTGTTGAAAACATCTGCCACCTGTTCACTGCTTCCAAGTTCATTCACAATGATTTTATGTTCAATGAGTAGATCAACATCCTTGGGGGTGTCTATCAAGTTATCCATCAGAATAACATAGCTTGTTATGTCCTTGGAATTATAGCCACACTGTTCAAAGGCTATCAGATTCCGGTAAAAAGTCTCTGTGAAATCATTTACGGTGAGCTGTGGAATTACTAACTCCCCTTTCTCAAAGCGTACATCAAATAAACATTTTTCTGCTCCATGACTGAACTTTACTCCCGCTGCCCGCAACTTAGTTGCAGTAGCACATTTGCCAAATTCTACTTTCTTTCCTTCTTCTGGTTCAGCTCTTGGATGTGATGGCCTATGAAGCACTGCTAGGAACTCAACCAGATGCCTTGCACGAGGAAATGAATGGGTCGTACTCGGCTCTAGTTTCCTGGTGTTCCCTACATTCTTTAAGTACTCAAAAGCTAGTTTATCGAAAGATGGCGGCTCGTCAGTCTCATTATCCAAAAACTTGCTCAGTTTTCGGGAAACAAAACCATTATACATTGTAGCAATGAACCTCATAGGAAGTTGGTTTTCTAAAAGCAGCAAATCGTGCACTATATCACTTGACACCCAACGATTTTCAAATATCGTATCACCCATCTCTCTCATTTCAGGAAAGTAGTTCTTTAAGAAGAGCTCAATGATAAAAATACCATCAAACAAAATCACTTCTGATAATTTCGAGAGATCTCGGATGTAGGTATCTTCATAACAACCACATACATTCTTCTCCTGACTATGGGCATATTCTGCCAAAAGTTCTAGCGGAATTTTAAAAGTGTGCAGGAAATTGTTTAGATACTTGAATTTGTATTCTTCCATGGCTTTCAACTGGGCATCACCATGGTGAAGGGGACCAATCGAGACTAACCGAGGCGTATAGGCTTCTTCATTTTTCCTCCTTAGTTTCTCAGGAACTCTATAGATACAAACTGTACCATAATTAAGAGGATCTGAAGCTAACATGGATAACTTATCGTTGATCAAGGATGCTAAATGTATTGCGCTTGCAGAGTAGTGTGTGTACCTTGGTAATTCTACTTGCCCAGGGGGGATAGGCTTGGAAGTATTGACACTGATTTTGACCTCACTTCCAGGATCAACAACAATTACAACTTTTTCTTCAGCTTCCATTCCAGTCAGTTGATGAAACCTGACTTTGTTCTTGACCAGTCCTTTCTCTGTTGACAAGTAGAAGAAAACTCATGTTTGTTGGTTTTGAACTTGGAACCGGCAAGAAGAAATCAAAAGAAAAAGTAAGACAAGTACATAAATATGTTTGTTGAATGCTCAAAGTAAGGCAATAAGGCAAGAAGAAAGTAATGGGGAGCCAATTGTTCTTTTTCAACCAATAAGATTTTCTTTAAACTGGGAGGGAAAATTTAAAAAAAAAAAAAGATAAACAGCGAAGCTGTCTTTTGTTTTCCGTTTTGACTGCAACAAGAGGTGCGAGCAAAATATTCATCTTGTGCTTTATGTTCTATTATACAGGATAGTGAAATTTTCATTATATAGTACATTAGGAAGAAAATTGGAAGGGTGTAGAACAAGGATCAGAAGGGAATTTTGTGTATTAATGACTGGAGAGACTTCCATTCATGGCAGCAGGCTTAATATAAAGTTCTAAGATAAAACTTTCCTCTATACGAGGCTTTCAGGGATGGTGATGGAAAGAGGTACATGTGTGATTGTCCATGGTAGCATAATTTCCTTAGTAGAAACAAGCAATAACACATTAAAGCCAGAATCAAAGCAGAGTTATGCAATTAATAGAAGTATTTTCTAAATGAACAGAACCAGACGAAACTTAATGGATATATATTTGCATATTACCCTAACTGAAGATTGGAACTGAAAGTCATGTACCCCTGAAGAAAACGGATCCACAAATTATCCATTACTCCCATTGAAATCCATTTCAGCAACTACATAATTACCCCTTTATTTCATCAGTAACAAGTACTAAGACATAAGAGTGAAGGACGAAGAATACCTCAAAAGAGAAAACGGAGCAGATGGTTAAATCTCAAGAATAGGCAAATAGAGCTGATGTGAGAAAGCTGCCACACTTTGACTTTGCACTCTTTAAGTGTGGAATTGGAGTTGGAACTTCTGTCCTGCGACATCCTTGTCGACAATCTACATATCTACACTATTGAAAAACAAGGGAGAGTTGACAAATGAACAGTGCAATCTGGTCTCCTCTGGTTACTCTGCCTTTGTGTCAATTGATTGGTGCTTTTTTGACATTTGAAATGCTTCTTATATGCGTCGTTACTGTGTTTTCCTTCACATTTTCTGTTTTTTCGTTTTTGCCAAGCCTTTATAACCCCCTTTTTTGTTGTGATCTGGTACATGCCCCGACTCGATTCACTTTGGACCCGAGCCGACACACCAAATCGGGGATACGCCATAACCCCTCACGACGCACCCAAGTTAGATAGCGGGGTTTAAGTTTTAGGGAAATATTCGAATCCAGAATCTTATTCAGTTCAAAAATCCACTTTACCACTAGACTATTCCTTGGGGGCAAAACCTTTATAATCTCTCTATCTCTGTCTGGTTGGTCTCGTTCACTCTCTTCCTTTCTTCCTTCCCCTTTTTCACTAAAAATTATAGGGAAATTCCTCTCTCTTGAGCCCATTTGGATTGCATTTTTTGGAGAGTTTTTAGGGAAAAAATCATTGTAGCATTTTTTTTTTGATATGATGTATATGAGATAAAAATAATTTAAAATTATAGAAATAAATATTTATGAAAAACACGTAAAAATTTGTTTAAAAAAATTTACAATTCAATCCTGAAATGAAAAAAAGAAACTCTAAGCAAAGGTTCTGACTATTGAGTATTCAAGAAAGCAAGAAGAACGGGGCCAAAAAAAAAAAAACTATAGCAGCAGAATATAGGAGTTATACAATAGAACATATATGAGGTTTTAGCTTAATCTTTCAGTCACAACTAGGTAAAGGATACTATTTTCTCCATCCGTCATCCATGAATCTCTTGCCTTTATTTCTCACTCAAAATTACAGAGAGATCCCTCTTTAAAAGTCATCTATTTCTTCTCTTTTGCTGCAAGATGGGAGATCCGGTAAAAAGAAGCATGGAAATAAAAAAATCTAGCTTAGGGGAAATAAAAAAGAAGCATGTGAGATAAAAAGATGATTAAAAAATATATTCATGGAAAACCAAAAAAAAAATTTGGAGGAAAATGCTTTGCAAACAAGACTGCAAGATATGCAACAAGTATGAATGATTTGTTACATTCTCTTTTTCAAGATGAGCATATTTAGAAGAGATTCTTTGGAGTTGTTTTTATTAGTTAAACATTTTTTATGGTTTTCAGTATGTTTAGGTTCTTTATTGTGTTAAGTTAAGAATAATAAAATTATTTTAAAAAATAATGCACTACATGTATGTAGACAACTTGTATGCAAATTGTTGAGATATGTCAATTTTTACAGATTTTTCTATATTCATTTGGCACTAGAATAATTTAGTTAATTATTAAATAAATTTAGTTGTTAGGATATATTGTTAACAAAAAAGCATGTTGAGTTGTTAACAAATATTTTTGCTAAGATTTAGTTTATATTTTGTTGAGATTTTTTAGGATAATTGTTAGTTAGAAATTATATTAATTTGTTTAATGTAAACACCACAAATAGTGAGTTGATAAATGAAAAATATAAAGTTACTTTCAACCTTCAATACAAGCCTTTTGTAAGCAGTTTTTTTTTACAACACTAATTAAGATATTGTTTCTTAGTTTATACCTTAAAAAAACCAATAAAGTGATATCAAAGCTTCTTATAAAAGCCTTGTCCAGAACAAGATCTAAAGATTTGAGAAGGCAACTCAAAATCTGCAGCAAAAAGTGGCAAGGATTCTCATTGAATCCACTCACTCTCAAAAAACAATACAAATGCTCTATTATGAGCTTATTAAAACAAAACATCTGCAAAAGCAACAACTAGTGTGTCACTTATTGCCTATATAAACATGACTTGTCATCGTCATATAGATGAAAATCATCTGAACTTTGTTATTACGTACATTTTGCTTCGGTTGCGATTTTTTCTTCTTTTTTTTTTTTTACCCTTTAGTGATTTTTCCAGTTGAAGAGTCCAATATGTGCTTGTGATATTGGTACTAAGCCTTGTACATGATTTGACTTTTGCTTTCCCTTTTTTTTTTTTTTTGTAAAACTGAGAAAATTAGCCGTTTGTTTAGGTATAGATCATGCCTTGATGGTATGCTTTATACAACTTTATAAAGTGCTTTAAAAGAACTTTATAAAGTGCTTAATAGTGCTTTATGCAGTCTTATATTTATATAGTCCTTGATAGTGCTTTTTTTTAATCGTCATCCCTACTCCTACTCCTACTCTATTTACGGGGAGGCTCAACTGAGCTTATGGGGACCGATAGGGACAGAACTACCACCGGTTGTGCACCCGTCTGGATTTGAAGTAGAGCCACAAGAGTGGCATTTTGGTGGTGGCCACCAGCCCAAGAGCTGGTGGCTTTTTATATAGTCCTTGATAGTGCCTTTTTTTTTTTTTGGCTGACGTTTCTATAACAAAATGTCGAAAAACAAAAACAAACATTTGTGTAAGTCATCGCTCCCTGAACACGGGTCACTAAGCGCAGGGCACTAAATAAAAAGGAGTATTGGTCGGAGCAAGCCTTTTTTTTTTTTTTTTTTTTTTTCGTCGCACATGAATTCCGCAAGACAAACATCATTGCATTCAGTTAAATAAATTTTTGGTTGGTTGCTAACTGACACAAGCTTATCACGGGTCATGCGCAATAGTAATTTCACTTTACACCTCTGGACTTGTATTGCCTTTTCACTTTATATTTTAAACTTCAATTTTGAACCTGTTACGCTCTAAATTCTTAATTTTGGACATTTGGCACCCTAGTCTCTCAAATTTGTCCAATTTAAATTCAATCAATGACTATATTCGCACAATTAATGAGGTAGAGCTGTGAACATTAATGACAATATACTGTTTTATTCTAACTGCTATCTCTTAACCTTTTTTTTTGACCAATTTTATTACATTATCATTGATTTATAAGATCTCAATTGCTAATATAGTTAGCAAAATTAACTAGATAATAGATGTTACAAATTATTGAAAATGTATTTTTTTTTTTACTTTTGCTATGATACCTTGGCATATTTGGACTACTTTCAATACATTATCATTGATTTGTTGAGTCCTCTACTATGTTATTAAAGTTCCCAGCAAATGGCTCCATGACAAATACTAAAGATAAATTCAACAACAAAAGCACCATTACATTCAATTGCTTTAAAACAAGCTAATAAAGATGGTGTCAGCCAACTCCTTGACACTGCTAAAGGGCTACAAAATGGGTTTTTGGATCTTAATAAATTTTAATTGGTTGCTCAATACCTAACAGAAGACAATTCGGTAAAAATTGGTCATTGTAATCGTTGGCCATGTGCGGTAAAATAAAACTGATCACTTCGTTTCAGAACAGGGTGGAGGCCTAGTTGGGCTACCTGAAGAAATCTTTAAATAGAAGATTGTTGAAAAAAAAATATTTTTTTGAAATAATACAGTAGCACTTTAGCATTTTCTGTAATATGCTGCTTCTAAGATTAAAAAGTGATTGAAAAAATGTATTTATGATATAATTATTTCTAAACAGTGGCCAATCCAAACAAGCTGCTTGTTGCTTGATAAATATAGAAGCTCACTCAAGTATGTGCGTTGCTGATGAAAAAACAGTATCTTTTGCTAAAAAGTGGAGCGTGAACAAATTATGAAACACTGCAGGCCTTCTCTTTTTTTCGATCTTTCTTGTTGACAGGGTGTCAGACCTGTGCAATAATAAATACCTGCTTAAATAAAATATAATTTCTGTAGATAGTGATAAGCAGGATCGAATTCACAGGGACTGGGGATAATTTATTTCTTTTAGAGTCCGAAGTATGGGGGGTTTTTGAAAATGAGAGTAACTAAATTACTTGGAATAAATTAAAATAAAATAAAATAACTACAACTCAAATAACTAATTATCACAATAAAAATAATAATGGACGAACCCTAGCCAAGAGACAATTTCGGAGATGGTTCACTTAATTCGATTACAGATGCAAGGATTATTCCAGTTACTATCTGATAAATTAGTTATAGTTGTCATACATGCGATGAACAACCAACTCTTCCTCAATTTGTCGATAGCCAAGGTACGACCGTTGACTATTTCTCTAATCAGGAAACAACCCTAGGTACGACCATAGAAGTTCAATTCCCTAATTGCATGAATAATTAGAAGAGCCTAATTCTAACCAATCAACACGCTACGAGGGTCTCTTTAAGTTAGCCTGTCTATCTCCCTGACACAAACCCAATCATGCCAGTTGCCACCAGTTTAGAATAATTAAACAATTACGGATTTAACTACCCTAATTGGCTTCAGGTCATTGAATTAATCTAGAATCCGGGCCCTGGATAATCGAATAATAAAACAACCATATGAACATAAAGCAGAAGATAGACGAATACCAGTGAATAATAGAAATAAATAAAAACTAATTCGATCTCACAAATTTAGTAGAACCAAGTCCTCCGTTGTTCCTCGACTAGATGAGAAACTTAGTCACGCCTCATGAGAAAATCTCCACGTAATTTAATTGAGGTCCAGGCCATCAAAGGAACCCAGAAAGAATAAAACTAAACTATGCTAAAAGCTCTCTGTAGCCTTTCTTACGATTGTCCTTATATAGCCAAAAGGAAATGACTAAAGCTATCTATCCAGTGGTCCCCACGAATAAGGAACAAAAACAACTCTTTGCACGTTTGTTTCCTTTCAATTCAAATGACTAATGCCTTTCTAGTTTCTTCTCTCCGTGTTCCCCGCACAAATTGAGAAAGGAGTGTACATAAAGTGAAGTTCTCTGAAGTCCTTCTTTCTTTAGTTTCCTCAGTCCGCGTATATCACCATGTGGGCCAGGTCTGTGGCTTATTTGAAGTCTCAATTATCTTCAGAAAGTCCCTCCTTTTTTGTAGTTTTCTGCTTCACTCCCTAAAATTGGGTCCAATACCAAATATAAGTAAATATTAATAATTAAAACAATATTTGGCAAGGATAAAAGGGAAAATGAATAATAAAATTACTAACAATTAACACCCTATCACTTGTAAATTGCTAATCAACAAGGGACGGCTGACTTTTTTTTTTTTTTTTCCTTTTTTTATGGAGGGATTGAAAGATTTGA